ATGGGAAGAGAGCAAGGAAGGAAAAAGAAGGAAAGAGGGGAAGGAAGAAAAAAGGAGAAGGAAGAGGGAAGGAAAAGGAAGAAAAGGAAGGAAGGAAAGAAGAAAGGGAAAGAAGAAAGATGAAGAAAAAGAAAGGAAGATGGGAAGAGAGCAAGGAAGGAAAAAGAAGGAAAGAGGGAAGGGAAGGAAGGAGATTGCAATGAGAGGGAGGGAGGGTCTCAGGGAAGTCCTGCTTTTAGCACTTGGCCACGATTGGTGCCCCCGACATAAGTCCCAACTGGTGCCCCCAACATAAGCCCATGCTCACCCCCTGCCATGCCCCCCCCTCCAAGGTTAAACACAACCCTGATGAAGCCCTTCAATGAAATCATACTTGACACCCCTGCCCTAAATTAACTGAAATTCCTGTTTGCAGTCAGGATAGAAACCAAAGTGTGCGCGTGTGTGTGTGTGGGGGAAACGGCATTACATCCACGGGGAGCTCGCCCCACCGGTCCAGCGTTCCTCCTGAGAAGCAGCCCGACCACCTCCCTTTGCAAATGGGTACAAGTCACAAAGTCGCAACTCATCCAAGAACACGCCCACCACGCTCAGGAAAAGCAAGCTGTTATATCAAGGCAAGTCCTCGGCTTACGACCACAGTTGAGCCCGCAATTTACGTGGCTGTGTGAGAAATTTGTTCGGTGAGCTTTGCCCCCATTCTCTCGCCACCTTTTCGTTAAGCGAACCTCTTAACGAAATTATGAACACGGCTGTTAAGTGAATCTGGTTTCCCCACTGGCTTTGTTTGTCGGAAGGTTGCAAAAGGGGAAATCACCACAAACTTGGGACTCTGCAACCTGTCGTAAATAGGAGTCAGCGGGCCAGCATCCGAATTGTGTGTGTTTTTTTTTAAACAAAATTTTATTAAGTAAATTATTAAAAACATTGGGCATGGTCTGATCGTCCTGACAATCCTGTTTGTCATACATATTATGGCATAGAATACATGTTTTATTTACATTTATATATTTATACAGTATTTTCTATTTCTAATCATCTGTTTTGCCAATCCTGCTTTCTTTTGATTCCAGATCCTTCCCTTTTCCCCACCATGGATAGAATTTATCCCATACTTTATATAGTCTCATCTTTGTCTTTCATTTCTAAAGTTAATTTATCCATCTCAGCGCATGTCCATATCTTTTTTATCACTTCGCTGTCATCGGGAATTTTGAACAAAGGCTAACCTTGCTGCCGTAATCACATGTATGGTTAAATAGATCTCCTCTTTATTGTATTTTTCTGATACGATTCCGAATAAGAAAAAAACCCGGTTTATATTCCACTTTATGCCCTACCATCTCCTCAAACCACCTCTGGATTCTATGCCAAAACTCCAGAGTTTTTCTGCATTTCCGCCATATGTGGTAATCTGATTCATATTCTTTGGTGCATTTCCAGCAGTGGAGTGATATATTTTGATATATTTTGGATGATTCTGCTTGGAGGAAGATGCCACCTATGAAACATTTTATATAGGTTTGGCAAGCATCCAAATTTTATTCACGTGACCGCGGGGATGCTGCAACGGTCGTAAGCATGGCAAATGGTCATAAGTCACTTTTTTCCACTGCCGTTGTAACTTCAAAAGGTCACTAAACAAATTGTTGTAAGTTAAGGGACTACCTGTATAAACAAAGAGTAAACCCCACTCTTTCTAGCACTGGCAATGTTACCTAGTTGGGTCCTGAAACGTCTGCAAGAAAACAACCAAGCTCAGATAACACCAAGGAACCCACAGTCCTCCTCCTCCTCCTCCTCCGCAAACCCTTCTCTCCTTCTAGCACTGATGATATTACCTAGTTGGGTCATGAAACGTCTGCAAGAAAACAACTAAGCTCAGAAAGCGCCAAAGACCCCCGAGAGTTCAACCCCGAGTTACAAACATTCACTTCTCTCATTGCCAGCACAACTTACCTGCATCATAAGATCTACGTATTCCTTGTCGGTCAGCACACAAAGGAACGGATAGATATCCAGTTTGGACGTCCGCCAAATGTTCTCTTGTTTCTTGAGCTTCGTCAGGTTGTGAAGCAAAGTTGCTTCCCACTGAGAACGAATCTTGCTCAAAATTTCCCTCTAGGGCGAGAATAGAAAAGATCCTTCACTGTGCAAGGAAGTCTTTGATTTTTGACTACAATTGGGGCCCCGGAATTTCACCTGCTAAGTGATGCGGTCATTAAGTGAGTCATCCCGTGACTGTCCCCGATTTTATTATGGTTAGTAAGGGGGCAGCAGCGAGGTAATGCAGGTGGTAGGGAATGGCAGTGGCTCTCCACAACGGTCCCAGTTTCCCAGTTCCCTAATTTCCCCTTGGGAAAATTAATTGCCCAACCCTGGATGCCACCCTGTACTCGTTTTCAATAACTGGCAATCTGCTACTAAAAACTCAGCACTTGCTACACACTTGTCACAGCTGTTGTAGATCTAGAACAGTGTTTCTCAACCGTGGCAACTGGAAGATATGGGGACTTCGACTTGGAGAATTCCCCAACCAGCAGGTCAAGGCACGGCCTTAGAAACATTACAGAATACCAGAGTTGGAAGGGACCTTGGGAGGCCATCTAGCCCAACCCCCTGCTCTGGCAGGTGAGCCTACACCATTTTAGACAAATGGTTGTCCAATCTCTCCTTGAAAACCTCCTGTGTTGGAGCACCCACAATGCCTGGAAGCGAGTCGCTCCACTGACTTTTCTCATTGTCAGGAAATTCCTCCTTAGTTCTAGGTTGCTTCTCTTCTTGATTAGTTTCCATCTGTTGCTTCCTGTCCTGCCTTCTCAGGTGCTTTGGAGAATAGCTTGACTCCCTCTTCTTTGGGGCAGCCCCCGAGATGTTGGAAGACTGCTATCATGTCACCCCTGGTCCTTCTTTCCACTAGACTAGACTAAGCGAGGACATTCTCCGCAGGGTTTTGCATACTTGTCTAGACGTAGCAATAGCACTTAGACTTATATACCGCTTCATAGTGCTTTTACAGTCCTCTCTAAGTGGTTTACAGACACAAGCTGTTGCCCAAAACAATCTGGGACCTCACTTTACCGACCTCCGAAGGATGGAAGGTTGAGTCAACCTTGAGCCTGATGATGATTGAATTGTTTTTTGTTCTTGTTTTAAATATTTTTTATTGGTTTTGCATCACAAATTCCATTTTCTATATTGAACAGTGTGTTTTCTAGGTATCCAAAGTGTTAAAGTATAAGCATCATCATAATCGTTATAATCATGTACATATATTATTAGATGATATCGGAGGGTTGAACTGTTGGCAGTCGGTAGAATCAGCCTGCAACACTGCATTCTCACCATTGTGCCACCACAGTTCATATCCAATTCCTTGCAACCATTCTTGATGTACAAGTAGTCTTCAATTTACAACTGGCTGCTCAGCAGTTGTTTGAAGTTCCAATGGACCTACCTGAGGGGTACTTTACAACCCAGATTTGAAATTCTGACGGTCAGAGCATCCAGTGGTCATCTGACCCACTTCGGGTGCTTACAATCAGGCCACATTTATGGCTGTTTGCAGCATCCCACAGACACCTGACTACATTTTACAAATGTCAAGGCTCCAACATGGATCCCCATTCAAATCTTAAGTCTCTAGCCAGATCTCTTAAGAGTAAAAAATATTGATTTATTAGGAATTGACATGTTGGCAGTTCCTAGTTGCAGCCGACTCTGACACTTCATTCATTTCACCCTTGACCCTGGTCTTCCCCCCACCCCCTGGATGTATATTCTCCAATGAGAAACATCCAATCCATAGCCAAGAGTTATCAATCATGTTCGCCAGTAATAATCTTACGCGCCAACAGCTTTGACTGCCAAAGCATCTGAAGCATTTAAGGAATGTACTGCTTTCCCCAACACCCTTTCTGCTAGCAACTAAAAAGACCAAAGAAGTATTTTTTAGTTGACAACAAACGGGTTTGCTGAAAACCGGCATCCACGTTCAGTTTTTGGCAAAACTGTGCCCCAGAGTGAACCCCTGGTTTGCTTAACAGCTGCCATAAAAAAAAAAGTTTGTAATATTGGTCAGTCACATGACCAAACCTTTTTACAACAGTCACACGTTACTACCATGTCAGGCCGGTTCCTTTACGGTCGTAACTCGAGCACTTCCTGTATTTATCCCTTCCCTTTTTATTCGCAACTTTCTCCTCAGGAATTAAACACAACTTTTTCCTCAGGAATTAACTTTACCGCTTTGATAGTTGTAGCTGTGGTAGGTATAGTGGCTTCCACTGACTCAACCGTGACCCTGTCGGATATCTCCGTCTTGTATTGTTTTCGGAACCGCTGCTGCAGCTCTTCGGCTGTAAAATTGAGCTTGGTGTAAGGAATGGGCTTCTTCTGAGGGGAGAGAAAAGAGGAAGAAATCCGTGATGATGCCTCAGGGATACCAGTAGTCCTTAAACTCAGAATAACTTTATTGTCACTTTAAATGTACAGTAATCAGCATGCATTAAAATGAAATGTCATTGCATACAGTTCTCAAAGGGTCACCACCTCTAATATACATTACATAAACATGACAAAAATATAAATAAATAAAAATTACACCTACACAAACACATATTATATGACACAGAGAAACAACACAGTCTAATTCGGTTGTATACATGTACATGGCGAGAAAAAGAAACCTTGTGAGTTTGCCAGACGGATGGCCTAGGGAACAAAGCCGTTACAGAATCTGATAAGTCTTGCTAGAAATACTTCAAAACCTCCTCCCAGAGGGTAGCAACAAAAACAGACCATGAAGTGGGTGTGTTGGGTCTCTCACAATGCCTTGAGATCTAAGCACATACCGCTTATAAGCAGTATCCTGAATGACAGGAAGAGAGCTTCCTATAATCTTCTCCACTGTCCTTACCACTCTCTCTATGGACTTTCTATTTGAGGCGCCGCAGCCGCCAAACCAAATAGAGATGCCGTTTGTTAAATTCCAATAAAGAGGAACACAGACAGACCACAAACAATAATTCTTAAAGATTAAGAGGTTTATTTCATGAGCAATTTGGAAAATGAACAGCCACCGTAACACAACTTATGTCAATAATCCATTGCAATGAGGTCCAGTGACATTGCTGAGTCCAGTAAGGAATAGCTATGGCCAGTGGTACCAAACTCATCCCAAGACATTCTTTGTATACTTTTCTGCACAGATTTCACAACTTAGTTCCTTGTTCTTTCTTACTGACAGTCTCCAAATATACCCGTGTACATCTCAAAGCTCTTTCCATACTTTGCACAATCATGTTTCACAATTGGCAACAGCTCAGCAGGATTACAAATAGTCCTGGTACATTTTGAAATCATCCTACCTAAAACTTTGGTTCATGTCTCTTTATTCTAGGGCCTCCATTCATTATTGTATCTGGTGGATCAATAGCCTAAATTTTTGTTTCCCACAAAATGCTCTCAATTGTGCCTCGTTAAAAAGTGGCCAGGACAGAAGGACGAAAATGTGCTGTCCTCCTCCGATGCAAGAAATGAAGACACCTTGACTTACGACCAATTGCTTAGCAAGCGCTTGACATTCCGACAGACCTACCTGGGGGATACAGATTGTCCTTGGCTTACAACCATTCATATAGTGACCGTCTGACGTTACAATGGCACTGAGAAAAAAAGACTTAGGGCTGTTTTTCACACTTATGACCGTTCCAGCATCCCCAGGGGCGCGGGATCAAAATTAGGATATTTGGCAACTGGCTCATATTTATGAAGATTATGCTGTCCTGGGGTCTGACAAGCAAAGACAGATTCACTTTACAACTGTGTTATTAACTTAACTATAATGATTCCTTTAACAACTGTGGCAAGAAAGGTCATAAAATGGGGCTACACTCAATAACCATCTTGTTGAGCAACATAAATTTGGGGTTCAATTGTGGTTGTAAGTGGAGGACTACCTGTACTTATGACCCAGATTCAAACTTCTAAGGCTGCCCCTCCCCAAAGTTATGTGATCATACACTTGGCAACTAGGCTGGATAAATTCCACTCCCAGAATTCCCCAGCTAGTGCAGCCGGTTCAGGAATTCTGGGAGATGAAGTCCACAGGTTGTAAAGGTGTCCCGACCCCTGGCTAGGATGTTTGAAACATGTCTCGCTCAGGCATGAGGAAGAGATGATGGGAATATGGTGGAGAGGAGCCAGGAAGAAACGCCAGGGCACTTTGGGTTATGCGTGGGTTGGACAGAGGAAAGGCTCAGAATTAAAGGCCCAAAAACAAAACAAAAAAGCCTCAGCTGAAGGCAGTTAAATCCTGTTTTGTTTTGTTTTTTAAAGAAAAAGACCCCCTCAAGCCAAGCTTAATTCCTGGTTATTTACGCCATGCCGAAATGGCAACATGCAGAGCTTTAATCCTAATGGAAGATGGGAGTACAAACCAAGTACCCAAATGGGATGGGATGGGATGGGATGGGACGGAACAGAATATATGGAATGGAATAGAATGTAGAATGGAATGGAATATGGAATGGAATGAAATAGAATGGAATAGAATATAGAAAGGAATGAGAGAACGGAATAAAAAACATGGAATGGAATATGCAATATAGAATAGGGAGAAAAAAAGAAAATATGGAACGGAATATGGAATCGAATAGAAAAAAGAAAATATGGAATGGAATATGGAATAGATTAGATTAGAAAAAAGAAAATATGGAATAGAATAGGATAGGATAGGATAGGATATTGGACTGAAGAACAGAATAGAATAGAATAGAAAATAGAATAGAATAGAATAGAATAGAATAGATGATATGGAATGGAATAAGAATGGAATAAGAATGGAATAAGAATAGAATAGAATAGAATAGAATAGAATAGAATAGAATAGAATAGATGATATGGAGTGGAATAAGAATGGAATAAGAATAGAATAGAATAGAATAGAATAAAATAGAATAGAATAGAATAGAATAAAGAAAATATGGGGTGGAATGTGGAATAGTGTAATAGAATAGAACAGAACAGAACAGAACAGAACAGAACAGAACAGAACAGCTTTATTGACCAAGTATGATTGGACACACAAGGAATTTGTCTCCGGTGCATAAGGTCTCAATGTACATACAAACAACAAAGTGATAAATCATAGATCATAAAACATAGTTACAGTAAGGTACAAACAACAAATGATAAATCTTAAAATACCAATAGGAGGAGGTAGTACGGTAGGAAAAATGGAAGGTGAGAAAGATGAGAAGGATAATAATAGCAGCACAGCCCTATGAACGTGGGTAAGTATCTCTAGGCCTAAGACAGTGCTGTGGGAATTAGGGGTTTAGCAGAGGGATGGTGTTGGTGTTTGGGGACAAACCCCCAAGCAGAGTGCACAGCAGCAGTCAGGCCAGGCAGCCAAATGAAAGAGAGGCTGGGCCCAAGAGTATACACACACTGGAGACAAAAACACTGTTTGTAGTTTTAAATAGTTATTTAATTCATTTAGAGTTTAAGCAGTGTCATTCAGTCCATATGTCATTTATCCAATATATCCATCCAGTAACCTAGTCCATTAACTAATCAGTACAATGTCTTTATCTTCTCCTTCCGATACCTTTCTCTCGAAGACAACGCTGAGTATGCACAGGATATCAGCTCACCAAGTAAACAGTCCCTTTGTTCAGCACAGTAGCCAACAAGCATTAACAAACAGACGTCTCAAACAGGAGTAAACAGCAGGCAGCAGATAGCAGAGAGACCAGACGAGGAACCAGGAGACCAGAAACCAGTAATCAGTAACCAGGAAGTGTTACGTTACTCTCACTGCCTTTTATTGCTGCTTGCAACCGCACCCTTAATTATCTAATTACATTGCAGTTTGGTGCTTAAAGCTACAAACACTTAAACCTAGGTTTATATATTTATTCACCCAAACCTAGTTGGTGTATCCATATACCCAACATTCTCCCCTTTTGGGTGATATAAATATATAATACCTTTACAATCTAAACCCATACTTTTCACAACTCTCTAGGTGCTTAATGGCACCTTGGGCTTTAGTAAAATTATCAGCTATATTGTCCTCCGACATGCAGTACTCCAGCTGTATCATTTTACTCTGTACAGATTGTCTAACGTTTAGTTACCTTAAATCTGTATGCTTGCTCCTAGTTTTTACTGCAATATTCGTGGCCATTTGAATTGCTGCCTGATTATCTTCATGTACAATTATAGGATAATTTACAGTTATACCCATATCATTCATCATTTGTTTATACATAATTAATTCAGTACATAATAGCGATAAACAGGAGAATTCTGCCTCCATAGTAGACAAACTTATATGCTGTTGTCTAATTGACTTCCAACCTATTAATGTCTTACCCAGCATTATGGCTGTTCCTGAAGTCGACTTTCTTGTGTCTCTTTCTGATGCAAAGCTAGCATCTGCATAAGCACTCAGTATGAGATCACCTTTTGGTTCTAGATACAGTGCATGGTGTAATGTTCCTTTAAGATATCTTAAGATTCTCTTCAATGCTATCCAATGACATTGAAGCGGATCATTATTATGTCGTGCCAGCTGATTAATACTAAAAGCTATATCTGGCCTTGACCAATTGCTAATGTATGATAAGCTACCAATCAAAGATTGATATATGGCCTTATCAAACTTGGGACTTTGAGTATCCATTTTGCAAATATCCTGACTCATTGGAGTCTTTGCAGGCTTACAAAGTTCCATCTTATACTCTATTAGCAATTTAGATATCTTATCTTCCTGAGATATCTTAAAACCTTTCTGTGTTTTCACTATATTCAAACCCAGATATTTCTTTATCTCCCCTAATTGCTTGATTTTTATTTTCTTGGCTAATGATGCTATTATTTTATTTGCTTCATCATTAGTCTCAGTAATCAAGGCAATATCATCAGTAAACAATAATAATAATGATATTTTCCCATTTGTCTCCCTTTTAAATAGACATGGATCGGCTAAACCAGCTTTAAACCCTATATTGTTCAGTTCCTTTACAATATACTGGTTCCATTCATAGCCTGATTGTTTAAGACCATAAAGGCTCTTCTTTAACAACCAACAATCATTATTATTTTCACCTTTCAATCCAATAGGCTTTTTCATATATACAGTATGTCTTAGTGGAGCGTGCAAGTAAGCAGTTTCCACATCTAAATGGTTAACTATGTATTTCTTGCTTGCTGCCCACACTAAAGCTGCCCTTAACGTTGCTGCTTTAAGACTAGGTGCAAATACTTCATCATAGTCATTGGCACTTTGTCTAAAACCTTGGGCTACTAATCTTGCCTTATGGATTATATTTCCATCCTTATCAGTTTTTATCTTAAAAATCCATTTGCAGCCAATGGGTTTTATACCAACAGGTAATCTCGCATTTTCATATACCTTCATATCC